CTCTGCCGTTCACCGGGCGGGTGCGACTCCAGGCAGCGGGAGATTCCGGCGCGGTCAGGGAGCGCCAGATGGGCCCAGCTCCCTGCTCTTGTGCAGAGACCAGGAAAGTGCTGAGTGGTCCCGATTCGCTGCCCACCAGGTCTATGTTCTGCAGTGCGAGCAGGAGCACAACGCTGGCTGGGTCTGGGGTCGCAAGGTGTGCGGGGGGGCAACGCTGGCTGGGTCTGGGGTCGCCAGGTGTGAGGGGGGGCTGCACCACCACGTTCCACCCAGTGGCTGAAGTCAGTCTGTCTGTCCACAGAGCGGCGGCGTGGTCACCTCTTGCCTCTGTGCCTGTAAACAGAGTAACACTATATTCCAGTTATATTTCGAGGGAAATTTTTTGATCGATTGCCTTAATTATCAATGTTCATTAAATGTGATTAAACAAGGTGACGTGTAAGTAGGGTTTTGTAGCAGTGTTACCTGTTCAGCGAACTTCCGCACGCTAATGTGTATGAAAATATTTAGCAGCAAGCAGAACATAACTGGAGTCAACAGAATCACAGTGGGGTGCAACATCTGGCTCAGGATTCCAGTCGCTGCTGGGGACCATCCGAATAAGGCATCCCACCAGCACCCTTCCCCATCTTTTGTCCCTCTTTCGAGGACACAGTGTGTCTCTTCTGTGTCACGATGGACGGCGATCAGAGTCCTTCGTCCAGCGTCTCGAACTCGTTTCAGCAGTTGATGCAGGTCATCGTGTTGCAGCAGCTTTCTCACCAATGTGAGGTTCGTCCCGATAGGGGTAGGTGACGGGTCGTGATATGACGTGTAGCTGGATGGCAGCAATGGAGGAGTTGTGACAGGAGCTCAATAGTTGAAGTCGCATCCTGTAATTCTGGTAAAATTACAAGCACGGGTGTTAAAGTGGTCACCTATATCTGTGGTGGTTTTGTCTGTAGATACAGAATCACAAAGGTTTCTCCTGCAGATGCATCCATCTCCAATATAGATGTGTATAGTTTCAGGGGCTTCATCAGGATGCAGATTCCCTTTCAAATTTAGTTGCTTTATCCCAAATTATCTTTCGAATTTTAGCGGGTAGGGTGCCTTCTTCACCTTTTCTTCCATTTGTTGCCACAGTGGATTATACCCACAGCGGGGCCTGAATACAACTGAGAGTGAGAGAGACATGAATTGGGGTTGCACCTAGTGCATCCGTAATTAATGGGTGATCTTTTCCAGTTATTCTCTCCCATTGGGGTAAAATATCAGAGAGGAGCCACTGATTAGTTCCTAAGGCCGATAGAGAAGATTGTAAAGGTTGGTTTAATTTGTACAAATTCCTTGTTGCTGAATTTCTCGTTTGCCTGAACTGCAGCATCTGTGGTGCTTAGCACTCCCAGTCCAGTTCCAAAGACACCAGTCGCATCTTTGGTCGCTTTGGAGAGGCGAGGGTTCATCCGTGCGGCCACGCTAACCATCCTGTGTAAGGTGTTTTCAGGAATGGCGAGCAGGTCGGTTGAGCTGCAGAGACGTTAACCTGCGTGGAGAATGCCAGTCGTCTGAGAGAGACCGTGAGGGGCTGAGCAGCGTTGTTGGTTGCCCCATGTTTTTGATTAGTTAGGGACCAGCGTTGTAAAGAGTTAGACAGGAGGCTCAGTCGGTGGGTGTAATCGTTCGATGTCGATTTTGAACTGGAAGCCTAAGCTGGAGCGAGAGTTGGGGGCTGTTGAAAGGCACGTTAGGAGTGTCGGATGGGGGGTAATAAACGTGTACCGGCATTCGTGTTTGAAGGGACGGGTGTGGGTGTGGTGTTCTCCCCCAACACAGCCTGTGACGACGTGTAAATCTGCGGTCGTGTGTTCAGTGTGATTTTAATTCGACATCCTACCGAGACGGTGTCTCCTTCGGTTCCCTTTAGAGATGGGACTGGTGAATTTTCAGTGTCATTTTTCATGATCCAATCTTGTCTATGAAAAGTGATGTTATTGCGTAGCGCTGTTGCGGATAAATTTAGATTAGATATAGGTATGTCACGAAGGACGTACGCATCGTTCCATGGCCACCCCACGGAGCAGAAGTTCCACAGTTGTCGCTCAATAATCATGAAATTAAACAATTATTTCCACACCACGTTTACCCCAGAAGCAGAGTGCTAGTACAGGCTGTGTAAAAATGAAATTATACCGACAACCTGGTTCTGGTACATCGTATCAAGATTTTTCCTTGTCTCTGGTTTTGGAAAAATTGGTGCAATATATTCTGATTTCAGTGGGTTTGCTGTGGGTAGATCCATTGATTACACAACACCCTATTTTTATTTCTTCCCTTGGTGTGGGCTGGAGTGATAGAATTTGGTGATGCTGTTATTATTGTGGGATATTCCAGTTCCTTTGTTGTGTAGTGTTTCCCATTTCCGTTCTTCCTGGTCCTGAGGGTCTTGTGTGTGGATTGTCCACGGATTTTGTGTCTACACTGGAAGCGTTATACTTACCCCAGTTAAGAGGAAGAATGATGCTGAACTGGGGATACGCTGCTGTCATAGAATCATAGAATAGTTTGGGCTGGAAGGGACCTTAAAGATCATCTGGTTCCAACCCCCTGCCATGAGCAGGGACATCTCCCACTAGACCAGGTCGCCGTTGCCATCGATGTAGATTCTTCGATGTAGTTTGGTGGGGAAGGCCGAACGGGTTACACCTTTATCACACAGGATAAATTCACCTGGTAGTTATTCTGTGTTTCGTACCACTACTGTTAGTAGCTTCCCAATTTTTGTTAGGGTTAGGACTGATACTTGAAGCGAAAGACCACACGCTGCCGTCCGGCAAATGCCAGGTTCATCCGCTTAAAACATCGAATCCTGAAATGTTTTCGTTGCGATCTTTAACTGCAAAGCGAGCAGACAACGTACGCTTCTCGCCAGGGAGCCGCAAATTAACCTTTGCAGTTCGGCAAGCAGCGCTTGCTCCGTTCACTCCAGTGATTTTAACTCGTTGCCGTCTGGGTCGTATCCCCAGCTTCTCAGCAGCTTGTTGTGTTGGTATTTATAAGGTCCCCTGCGAGGGGACCTTATAAATGCCTACAAATATCTGCAGGGTGGGTGTCAGGAGGATGGGGCCAAGCTCTTTTCAGTGGTGCCCAGTGACAGGACAAGGGGCAATGGGCACAAACTGAGGCACAGGAAGTTCCGTCTGAACATGAGGAGGAACTTCTTCCCTCTGAGGGTGACGGAGCGCTGGCCCAGGCTGCCCGGGGAGGTTGGGGAGTCTCCTTCTCTGGAGATATTCAAGACCCGCCTGGACAAGATCCTGTGCAGCCTGCTCTGGGTGACCCTGCTTGGGCAGGGGGGTTGGACTAGATGACCCACAGAGGTCCCTTCCAACCCCTACTGTTCTGTGATTCTGTGATTCTGTATTGAAATGTCTGCTCCCGTATCTGTCAGGAATTTTGCCAACTGTTGTCGAGGTCCAACTGGGATTGAAATGTGCAGGCCATTATCATGTATCCGTTGGTGGGCTTCCACTTGCTGGACAGAGAGACCTGATTGTCATCCAGGCACTATTTGTTTTTTGACCAAGAAAGGAAAGGGTTATTATTCTTTCTCGGAGCTGGTAGTGGTGTTTGAGTGTTTGGAATGTTTTCTTTTCCATCTTTTATATGAGTCCTAGCCACTGGTAGTTGTTTCTCCGCAGCTTCCCAGTCATGTCAGTTGTCACGAACCCACTCATCCGAGAATTTGGGAAATGGATTTATTCTGTTTTTTTGTAAGTAATCGGTGATACTGCTTGCCGTCCTGCCGACTACACCAGTTTGTCGCGAAGGAGCAGTGAGGTCGCATAACTGATCACACAAAAGTTTTGCAAGAAAAGATTTCACTGAAAATTTAGAAAATGTGATCTTACAGAGTCGGTTGGCAAGGTTCAGCGCTCTGTTACTTCTTAAATGAATGGAATACAAAATCAGAGGGGGGTTTGAGAGCAAAACGATTTCTGCAGAGTGGAAGAAAAGTGTAAGGGGGGAGGGAGACCCTGCTGTTGAGTCCCCAGGTTCGGACTGGACCCGCTTGCTCTGTAAACTCCTTCTCACAGAGGAGCCTCGGTGCGGCTGGATCCAGAACCGGCCTGAGACCGCAACACTTGATGACTAAGGAAGATGTTTGGCGGCAGTTCAGGGTGTGCTCACAGTTTAAAGAGAGAAAAAAAAGTCATAGGGATTTAGCAGCTATCAAACAGTGTTTAACTTAGCGTTTACGGAGTGATTAAAATGAATTTGTGATTACAGTCACGGTAATAGAATATTATGTTTTGAATCGATTCACACACACACGCACATGGACAATATGCATAGATAAAGATACCTCTTTAAAAGTCCCACTGAGTTCAGTGAAATACTTCAAATGATTTTCCTCAATGGGACAAAGGAGTAAGGATCTTACTCAAGGTGTAAAGGATCCCTGTACTTCAGCCCAGGTCACCTCAAATTTCAGAGTTCAAAGCGCTCTGAGAGGTGTCCCACTCGGAGTTGTTGGGTGCAGCCCACTGCAGTCCAGAGGAGCTCAAAGGGCCTTCCTTGGTACCACTGTTTATTAGGTATCAAGACGATTTGTTTTCCTCTTTCCCCCCATTTCCCTTCCGAAAGGGAAGAGCTGGGCGCAGTTCCTCGCAGCGCTGGGAGGTTTGGGGCCGGGGAGAGCTGCCGCGGGTTTTGACTCGCGTTTCTTCCCCGTGCTTGGTGCTGTGCCGTTCTCTCCCTCCACGTTAGTGTTCCCACAAGTGGCTTTTTTTCAGAGGAAAGGGCTGCTTCCTGTAGTCGTTTCTCACACACCCCACTTCCCACAGAGAGCACCCATGTTGGGGATGAAAAGCGAGGGGAGAAATCTGGGGGAACCCCGAAGGTTTTCCTCCTGGGGTGATCTTCCTGGTCAGCCCTCTTTTCCGGGATGCAGCGTGCTCCCTCCAGGCTCCTGGAGCAGGCCGAGGCTGTAACGTGGGCTATTTTTCCATTCTCCGCAGATCGTGGACACCTTCTTGATCGGCCGCTTCGTCCTCCTGGCCGTGATGAGCCTGGTGTTACTGGGGTGCCTGTTCCTGCTCCTGATTTACCACCTCATGGAGCCGCTGTACGCCAAACCGCTCCACAGCAGCTAGCGGCAGCCGGAGGCAGCCAGCCCAGCGAAGAGGAAATCCCAACTTCACGGCAGTGAACCGGGAAGGGAGACCAGGAGGTAAACGCGGCGGTTTTACCGAGCTCAGGCGGGGCCGGCGGAGCAAGCGAAGCGCGTCGCTTGCGCCCAGCGCTGCGTCTTCCATCTTTAAAAGCCAAGTTTGGACTGAGCACCAGAGCGCCTTCCAGCCCAAGGACTCTGCAGACTGCAAAGGTGCTTTCACCTTTCTTCTTTTTTACAGGAGGGTTGTACTGCACTTTATTCAATGTAATGAACCGAGACAAGATGGTTTGTTATCGTTACCCACAAGAGATGGTTTGTTATCATTCCTTTTTCACTTTAGTTTAATAAAACTCTCTGAGAAACCCCTGACTCGGTCTTTATTTACTCTCCGGGAGCGTCACCTTTTGCCACCCTCTGGTGACAGCATCTCTGAAAGCTGCCTTTTCCCCGTGGCAGACGTGGGGTTTTCTGGGAATTCGGCGTGTGGTTGTGGATCGCTGGCGACGGTCCCTTTGTCTGGAAACCTGAGCCTTTTGAGCGGGGAGGGAACAGCGTGCAAAAATTATGCCCAAATGGGCAAATTAAAATCTCCCCTCGGCGAGGATGCGGAGGAAAACGATGGCTGGCCTCCTTGCGCTAAAGAATCTTGCCGGCCCACGAAAAAACAGGACTGTGCTGGTACCCGAGTGTCTCCCCGCATGTTGAGACCCCAAATTGTCATCCTGGGGCGGGGAGCTGAAGGCGGTAGTTCACTCCAGTGCCTTTCCTCTTGAGGGCAAAAAGCACTTTTTGTGTTGTTCAGCACAAATCCTGGTTTTCTCCCTATTTTTTCCTGGAAACCAGCGGGGAAACAGCCCCGCTGAAGCGGAGTGGGGAGACTGGGCCGAGCCGTCAGCTGGCAGATAACTCGGCGTCTGCAAATCTGTCTGTTGATAGCAGCGGCTCGCGCAGGCTGGGCGTCTGTACTGAACTAGCAATAGCAACTGCTTTGTGCTGTCTTAGCCACCCCTCAATAGCTAAGTTTCTTTTAGTTGCATGAAACCTCATGAGGCTTTTAACTTGCTTTCAGGAGGAAAGAGTTTCAGCGGCCCGGAGC